TCACTTAAACTAGTCTATACTCTATTTTTCTATCTTAGGAAAATAAATCTTGCAAGTTTACATAACATTGCAAGCATGATTGATCGAACAAATACTATAATTATCTATTTAGGGCATGTTTGATAGCCTAGATTAGATAGGATTGAGCCCCTAATCAAGGCCCAGTCCAACGTTTGCTATCCAGGATTGTGGCCCGTAAGATTAGCCATGGCCCGAGATTAAAACAATTAAATCTTGGATATGGGGCATTATTTAATCTCACAATGGACATGAGATTTTCTGAATCTCTACAGTAAAAATACTTGTGAAAACTCCTTTTTGACCCTGAAATTTTACATTTTGTACTAAAATAGCCTCCATGGACAGAATAATTACAACTTGCCAAGTATAAAGACCCATCGTCTGCTTTGGCCAAAATTGTCGAGCAAGATCTGTGAGGTGTTCAAGTACTGAAATCCACCGCGACCTTCTGCTACTTCACGGTACGTGTGTTGTTTTACCATATCTTTAACACGAACACAGGTCATGTAGTTGTACTTGTTTTTTGCCTACTATTTTACTCGGTGTTCGAGAATAGGTGGTTTGTAAAACCCTAAATTATTTGTCAATTTATGGGCTACAGTTTTATTTCGAGCGCGCTTGGTTGGGTGCTTCGTGAGGAACGGAGTTTTTGTGTTTCCTGTTATTGTCATCCTCGTCCATCACTGGTAATTTATATAAAGAAACATCTATTTTTCTCCTCAATAACCCTAATCTGGGTCTGTATGAGTAATGTCTTCGGTTTTATTGTAAAACTCAATATTCAGTTTTTGTATATAATTGTTTTATGTGTTTGACCTGCCGGACCACTGGTGTTTGATAGGAAAATTGCAGGTTTTGTAAGATAAAGATGGATAAAAGTCGATATGTGAATTAGATGAAAAACATAAAAATTAGACAACCAAAATATTTAATTACAGCTATAGCAAATTGTGTGCTTTAAAAAATTCTGAAATCCAAATATTCAATTTATGCTTTTAACTGAGATTGTATAAGAAGTGTTTTGTTGTATTATCCTTCATCTCTTACATGGAGAAATACATATTTTTATTTATCTCACCAGCTTGAGCATGGACATAAGTTCTGAAGAGGCCGTAGTACTGTTGCTTGTCGAAGAGATAATTAATCTACGTAATTTGTTTTTGATCATTGGCTACCTCTACATTAAGTTGGTTGTTCAACCTAGACAACATCGTAGAGTTAGACGTCGGCTCGATAATGCATCATATCGTATGTCAGACCGTTTACCCTCTCAAATTGAACACATGAAAGTGTTAGTAGAAATAAGTGACAAGACATGCATTGAACAACTTCGCATGGATCGAAATAGCTTTGCCCGGTTATGCTTTTTGTTGGAACATATTGGTGGGCTCCAGAACACAAGAAATATACAAATAACTGAGCAAGTAGCAATGTTTCTTAGTGTCCTAGCTCACCATAAAAAGAATCGTGTAGTCAAATTTGATTTTATAAGATCCGGTCAGACAATTAGTAAATTCTTCCACAATGTATTACGTGTCGTCCTTCGTTTGCACCCCATCTTCATTGTCCAAAGTACTGCTGTAACCGAGTCATGCACCGATTGGAGATGGAGATGGTTTAAGGTGAGGACGAGAATATTAACAATTTTTTATTATACCAATATTGAATTAACATAACTAATGTTGCTACTGTTGTTCTTCTTCTGCATTAAATCACAGGGATGTTTAGGAGCCTTAGATGGAACCTATATTCCGGTGCGTGTCCCTGGACGTCTACACCCACGATATCGAAACAGAAAAAGTTCCGTTTCTGTGAATGTGCTTGGTGTGTGCACGCAAGAAATGAATTTTTCGTATGTATTGACTGGTTGGGAAGGTTCTGCGGCTGATAGTAGGGTTTTACGAGACGCCGTTCACCGACGAGGGGGCCTTCGTGTACCATCTGGTTAGTGTTACATAAAGTAATGTAAATATTTATAGATTTTTTTATTTTTTTTCTTTTGCAAGCTTGTTCTTAATAACAATTACTGAAAGTAATATTTATTTAATTTCATTTTTTACTATCTGACATATAGTTCCCATATACACACAACAGGAAAGTATTACCTCTGCGACGGTGGCTACACAAATGGCCCGGGTTTCTTGGCTCCGTATAGGGGTGTGCGGTATCATTTGGATGAGTTTGGTGAAGGTAACCGACGACCTACAAACTACAGAGAGTTGTTTAACTTAAGACATGCCAGAGCGCGAAATATAATTGAGCGAGCTTTTGGAGTATTGAAGATGCGTTGGGCTGTCCTTAGGAGCAAGACTTTTTTCGACATACGCACTCAAAATAAAATTATTCTTGCATGTTGTATCCTTCAAAACTTCATTCGGACTACCATGCATGTAGACCCAATGGAAAATGAGGGGGATAATATGATGAATCGGCAGAGAAACTCCGAAGCCCATGAACCCTTTGACTATGTAGACGTTGTTGAGCCAACGACCGAATGGACAAATATGCGGGATGCTTTGGCTATTTCAATGTTTAACGAATGGGATGGGCGAAGTTGAAGAATGAAGCAAGCAATGTTCAAAATTGGAACTCACCTTTTGTTTATTGTACTTTGAAAAAAAAATATGACATTATGTTTAAAGTAATGAGATGTGAAACCTCCAGTCTAAAATGTGTGATTTGCATTACTTTTCGTTTTGTGTACTTCTTTGTGTGCTTTGAAATAATAGACAATCCTATTTTATGTTGCCTTATGTTTCTGATTTCTTAATTATACTTTATTATTTTGCTTGGGTTACTTAATGCAGGAAGCTAACAATTCTTCTACATGTGTTAATTATTAGTTACTCATGGAGTCCTCTGCTACTGGTGGACGCAATTCACAGGCCGCCGGACAACGTCGAGTTTGGAATGAAGATGAGGACCGTGCTTTGATTGTAGGTTTGCGCGATCTTGTTGCCCGCGGCTGGAAATGCGACAATGGATTTCGCAATGGTTACGCCATCATATTAGAACAACACATGCACCACATGTTCCCGGGAACTACCATAAGAGCGGAGCCTCACATAACATCCAAGATCTCGGTCTGGAAAAAAAATTATGGTTCGCTTTCGGAGATGCTCAGTACTTCCGGCTTTGGATGGAGTGAAACAGGGAACTTTATTACTGTGCGGGAAGAGCAAATTTGGAAAGACTACGTGAAGGTTTGATTTACACATTTCGTTTCGTGATTAATTAATAGTAAGTTCAAATAAGCATTTACATTGTTTTATTTCTTTTCATTGTTTTAGGCTCATCCAAAGGTCAAATCAATGCGTTATAAACCTTGGCCCCTTTTTCCGGATTGGCTGGAAATTTTTGGAAAGGACCGCGCAACGGGAGAGGGGGCATTAGGTTTCACTGATGCGGTTAATGATGTCTTACATGATACAAATGTCGAAGTACCGAGCCCAAATCCCACTCAACACACAGGGTCGGAACATTTTGATTATCCTCAAAATAACTTTGACTCTTTTTCGGCTCAAGTAGGTGAAAGTAGTGCATCCGGTAAGTCTAAGCGTGATGGAAAAAGAAAGCGTAATGTTGAGGTGGAAGAGAAAATAATCGGGCTACTGTCATCTGTTTGCCAGGAGACGAACAACCGTCTTTCAGAACTTTCCACACGTGTCGGTCACCAGGTTGATGCAAAAGCGCAACGCGTTGCCGTTTATGATGCACTGAAAAAAATTCCTAACTTAACAACAGATGAAAGGGTCGTTGTTGCTCGGTACTTATCCAAAAATGTTGACGAGATGGAACTGTTTTTCAGCCTTGACGATGATGGAAGGAGCTCAATGGTGTACCAGATATTGAGCGGGTCACCGTAGTAACAAAAACAACACGAATTTGTGTATATCGTCGTTAATCTGTCTTTTGTCTTTTTGTAGTGTGAACTTCATCAGTTTTCTTACCTTATGTATGCGGATGTGAAGCCGTGAGGTTGAACGATGCACGTATTAGCCATTTTGTTGTGCTCCATATACTTATATACACGTTTGGTACGTGTATAAGTTATAAGCATGTACTCCCTATTTATGACATTGCAACCTACTGTTTCATTAGTTATTTTGCCTACATTTTGGTTGTGTCTATGTAATGTGGATTGACATTGTAATGCATCATGATGTATGGAAGTACTTATTTTGAATAGAAAAATATGGAATGACTATTTGTTTGTTTTACTTTCTTTTATTATGTAACAGGAGTGTCCTAAAGCTGAAAGAGTATGCTTTGTGCAAGGTTGTAATATTGTGCATATTGAATATATTTGTGTAACGAAATTTCTGACATAAAAAGTAAACTATGGATTTGTGACAATGAGCCATGTTATTTGACTTATAAATAACATACTGGCTTTTCACTTATAAATAACATAATGACATCTTTAAGTTTTGTCCATGTTAAATAGGCATCAGTAATTTTTTTTTATCCAAATAGAGTTAGCAATAATAAATCAATTCTTTATGAACTTATGCCACATGATCATATAGCCTTCACAGTAGAAATACATGAATTACCCATTCATTTCCTTCATGACAAGTGGTTCATTCATGTCCAACTAATATAAATACACATTCTTCTTATTTCATTACAATAACAACAAGCATTACAATTACAAGTACCAACATAAGAAGTAATAAATCATGAATTTTTTCAATTTTATTTTTAATTTTGACATCTTTGTTGCTCTGACGATGCACTCCAACTTTGTCGCTAAACGTAGCGTCCTGTCTTATGCGGGCTTCGTCTTCATTTATTGGATTGGCCCAACCAACAAACCCATCTCTATCACAAGCGTAATACAGTTTCTGATAATTCGAACTTCGGGAGCCAACGATCTTAACGCCAAGCTTCAATCCACAATGATGACATTTTTTTTCCTCATACTTCAGTGCACTTGGCCTTCCAAAATTTGAAGTGGTTGATGTTTGAGACATTTCGAACCTAAAAAGAAAAAAAAAATTATATGGGGAAACACATTCTTACACTGGATGTTAATTAATGAAAATTTATTATAAACTATTCACATTAACTTCTCATCAGAAGACCATATACAAAAAATTATGTCATGGAAGTGGTCTATTGCGTAATAGCACATGGAAAGATTAATCCACAATATACAGAAATCGTGCCATGTAAGTTCCTATTACATGGAAGCATTTGTGATTGGCAAATATTTTCAAACCATAATTTACAGACTCATTCGGTGAAAAGGCAGATTCAAAGATTATTTCTAGTAGATCAATGAAGTACAAAGATGTTTTTTTTTTCCTAAAAAAAAAAACAGTTTAAACTGAAATGACCAGGAAATGACGAAGAACAACAAGGACATATATATGTTGCATCTTTATTAATACATACTACTCATCTTTAGTAGTACAGTGTCATGGCACATTTAAAGTGAAACATAAGTAAAAGACAATGGGGTGGGGGGGAAGTAAACCTGATCGGACAATAAGACGCAATTAAAGAATGAACATTACAAGCTATTGCAGTTACAACTACATATGAACTCAGAGAGATATGGAGGGGAAACATAGACTCGCAAAATCACACAACATAAGTTATCAGAGAAGGCTGAATCCCTAGCAACAATAACAGAACACTACATTCGTATAATTCCTTTTGTTGCCTAGAATATCGAAGAAGGCGCTGACCTTCGAACATTTGACAAATCATCATTCCCAAATTCAGAGACCCTAATTTATACAAGTCGTATTTCCAATTATATCAGAGAACCCTCAAGCCCAATATTAGATAACCCTAATTTAGGGAACTTCAATTATTATCGTGTACAAAAGAACCCTAAAACCCTTTTATTTGTGTGGTCGAACAATCGAGAAATACGCCTTCTGAAATTTTGTACCTGTGAAATCAGGCGATGAGGATTCTTCTACAACACCTCAGCGGTCGTGGTTGCTGGAATGGGGCCTTCATAAAAGGGTCTTCAAATAATAGGGATGAATTTGTCTCCATGATTTCAAATTTGTACTACTTGGCAGAGGTCGCGAAATTGGACCGTTGACTATTTATCTCCCACCACGCAAGTTTCTATTTTTTTTTAATTTTTTATTTTGAAAGATAATGAAAATAATTTTAAAATGAGATTTTTTTTCATACGAGACTTCAAAGATGGGTAAACTATCAATTCGGGGCCTGAAAGATTTTTTTTTCTCAAATCGGGACTTAAATGTTCAAATTAACTATCAAGTTAAGTCTAGAATTAAAAGCTCCTTTAAAAAACTTCTTTAAAGATAAAAGATTTTAAGGACTTGTATTGATAAAACTATCAAATATTTTTCAGGCCTTGTATTAAAAAAAACTACTTTAAAAAAAAGAGCACGTTTGCCATGAGTGTGTATTAATTTTATTTTTCCTTTCTACATTAGATAATATTTTACGTATGTATAATATTTTGTAGTCGTGACGGACTAGTTAAATAGATCTGTTCTACTCAACAACCAACAACATACAATTACGACCATACACAAACCCAAAAAATATAACATTCAAAATAATATTATTCACAGGCCTAAAAATAGTAACAATAATAGTGATATATACTAATATAAAAGGTTATTGGAAAAATACTGACATAGAAAATTAAAAATATTTCTCAATTAAAAAATGTCATATTATATATATTTATATATATAATCCAGGTTTGTGATATTATAATATTTATATATTTTTAAAAAAAGTTATTTAAATTTTCAACTACTTATTTTCATTAATTTTAGATTTTAAGTACAAAGTTAGCAAGAACTCGTGTAATATGCGGACGTTGTAATAGGAATAATAATAATAACAAAAAAACAGTCACTAAATAATAACAAATATTTGGATTTGTTTTTGTCCGAAAGAAATCCGAAAAAATGTGGAAAACAACTATTTTATTTTCATATGTATGTGTTAAGCATTGAAATGAAAAGGTTATCACCAACCACACACATTTACTACCGGCTATAAATGACCATCAAGTTTACAGACTCAAGCTAAAGCAAGCTAAGGCAAATGATGATTTCCATTTATTAGACTTGATTGCTAGCTACCGAAGTAAGTGGCATGTAATGAAGCCCTGCTATCACCCTCAACCGATATATAATTACATGCTTTCTGCATGGCAGTTCACAACCAACAAAAAAAATAGATAAACGCAATCCGGTGTGTAGGTTGAAACTTTTTTTTTTAACATACCAGAATTCATTTCCTAATAATAACCTTTTTTTTTTTTTGTTTCACCATAACAGTTTCATGCAGCACTGCCATGGATCGGATGACGAGCCTGGAAAACATTGCACGCCGCTTTCGGTTGGAGGGGTGGACCGAGCTTGAAGAGAAGGTCTGCTATCGACTCTTTTTTCAGAAGTGTGCTGAAACAGACGACGTTGACAAGGCTCCCGTACTCAATTCCCTGTGGTTCGAAATAGCACGTCAGTTATCGGAGCTCATGCAAAAGGAATTCTCGTGGGTGAAGGTGCGAGAGAAAATCCATTGTCTTCAAGGTAATTACCGTGAATTTCTTCGCTTCATAACCGTACCGGGAGTTCGAGTCCATGACGACGGTGGTTTGGTTAGCGTGAATAGAGAGTACTGGAATGTCGTCGGAGAGGTATATATAATTGGTTAACATTTCATTTTTTATTAATTTATTTACGTTTATTTTGCACAGGGCCTGTAAATCTCATTAGAGAAAAAAAAAATAAATAATAACCAAAATATTAATTTCACCAAAATCTGTAGGAGTCCGATATGGAAGTGTATTTTCGGTGGAATGGCTTCAAATGGTACAATCATTGTGTGCAGCTGTGGAACATACGCGGGGCAGCTGAAGTGGACGTCCAATCTAACCCCGGTGCGAATAATGAGAACCCAATTTGTCTAGATGATACTATTTCGTATGCGTGGTCGGACAATGGCATGGAGGGTGAAAATGATGAATATGAAGTGGGTGAATATGATGAATATGAAGCTGAGCAGTATGTTGGAAGCCCAATCCATGATCAGCCACTTCCTATGGATCCGCAGTTCAACGTAGACGGCGATGAGGACTTAATGGATCACGAGTCGGATGTGGACTCGTGCGTCGAATCCGTGTGAAGACAAAAACTTTTCGGGACGGCCTTTCGCATGTTTTTTTGGTACTTTGGTCCCGCGCATATAATGTAGGCTATAACCTTAGGAAGTATGTATTTTGCATATAATAGTGTGTGCGTATTGTATAAATAGGTTGCCCGTGAATTGCTTCTTTTTGTTTACCAATCTCCCAATGTTTTGGTCTTTTGCTGCCAATTACAATATAAGGGTGGAATGTAAGGGAGATTGGAACATGGCTGACATATTATGTATAATTTTAAGTTTAATGTGAACATTGCTTCTGCTTAAACTATTGTACATTTTGCACCATTCTACTTCCTAATTTAAATGAGTTCTTATATAACAAAGGACAACATTACATTGCATTGAAGGATAATATGATGTCTTGTTATTTCCATAAAAATCGATCCATCATTGGAACCAATGTTGTAACTATATTTTGTAACATCATTTATAATTCAAGTACGTATATTGGAATAAAGTTATGCACCTCTTACATACGCATTTATATAACACATTTGAAGGTCAAATGAAGTTGTTTTTCACATGCAGGATTTCATTAATAATACAACTTCACATCACAAACATAATAACATTACTTAGTGCCAATTATAACATTACTCAGCAACCAGAAATAAGGAAATAAGTTAATTTAAACGTAGATAGGTACTTAAACAAGAAAATAAAATAATTTAGTTTCGTGGGTCACTGGAAGATCCTTTGCATGACG